CAGGATCGAATAAATAGACTATTCCTTTGTCAGAGACAGTACTGTGTAGTGGTTAAGTGCCAGGACTCTGCAGACAGACTGTCCATCCTGGTTCTGCCACTTTGCTGTGACTTGGGCAAGTTACTTGATGCCTCTGTTCCTCTATTTTCTCCTTTACAAAATGAGAGTAATAATAGTACCTATCTCATGGGACTGTATTCCTCTGGGTGGGCTCAAACTGCCTACCTTTTGGTTAGCAGTCAACCATTTGCACAATCTAGGGACTCCTATTAAATGAGTTAGTACATGGAAATACTTAAAATCGTGCTGGGCACAGAATGTTCACTAAGTAAGTGTAGCTATCACCATTATTCCTGGGAGGATTTTCTTATAAAGAAAAGGGAAATACAAATGATAATGTTATAAGCTAGGCCCAGCCAAAGGAATTGTCTGGAAAATTCAGGACAAAAGGCATTCTGGAGGAAAAGGGTGAGGGTGGAGGGTCTACTTTCACTTATCCACAGAGGCTGTCAGTAGTATCCAGCTCTCAAGAGAAGGTCCAGAAGGCTGGTCCGGATCCTGGAAGAGGCCAACTCAGGGTCCTGGCAGCAGCCCCTATTTCAGTTTGTTGTTGTTATTAGTTGCTGTTGAGTCAATTCCAACTCATGGTGACCCCATGTGTGCGGAGTAGAACTGCTCCATGGGGTTTTCAGCGCTGTGAGCTTTTGGAAGCAGATCGCCAGGCCTGTCTTCTGAGGTGCCTCTGGGTGGGTTCGAATCATCAACCTTTCATCTAGTAGTCAAATGCTTAACCGTTTGCGTCACCCAGGGACACCAAATGCCCGCTCCTCAGGGTCAGGCAAGGAGGAGGAAGAGAGAGCGTGAGGAGCAGCATTTTATTTTTCCCTCTGTGCTTGGCACTCACTCTTCCACAGAGGCAAAGAACTATGACAGGGTGTTTGCCCTTTGAATTACCCTGGCAACCCGAATTCCTTTACTCCTCTAGGAAGCTAAACAAAGCACATTTATTGAGCCGGAACTCTTCTTGCTTCTGTTTTCCTTCTAAATGATTGTTGTTGTCGGTTGCCATTGAGTCGTTTTCAACTCATGGTGACCCCATGTGTGCAGAACAGAACTGCTCCATGGGGTTTTCAGGGCTGTGACCTTTTGGAAGCAGATAGCCAGGCCTGTCTTCTGAGGTGCCTCTGAGTGGGTTCAAACTGCCAACCTTTCGGCTAGCAGTCAAGCACTTAACCATTTGCACCACCCAAGGGCACCTCTCAATGGTTAGTGTTTTAAAAAATAAAAGTATCTCCTGATTATTTAAAATGTATTTTAGGCTGTATCAAGATATTTTTTTAAGGTACCTAAGAGAAAGAAAGGAGCCCTGGTGGCACAGTGGTTAAGCACTCAGCTGCTAACCGAAAAGTTGGTGGTTTCGAACCCACCAGCAGCTCCACAGGAGAAGGATGTGGCGTGCTGCTTCCTCAAAGGAGGGTCATTATGAGTCAGAATCGACTTGACAGCAATGGGTTTGGTTTTGTTCTTCTTAAGAGAAAGAAGGAGGCATTTGTGGTTCAGTAGTAGAATCCTACCTTCCATACAGAAGACCTGAGTTCTGTTCCCAGCCACTGCACCTCATGCACAGCTAACATTCGTTTGACAGTGGAGGCTGTATGTTGCTATGATGCTGAACAGGTTTCTGCAGAGTTTCCAGATTAAGACAGACTAGAAAGAAAGGCCTGGCAATCTATTTCCAAAAATCAGCCAGTGAGAATCCTATGGATCACAATGGCCTGATCTGCTACCAGTCATGGGGATGGCCAGGACCAGGCAGTGTTTTGTTCCATTGTGCGTGGAGTAACCATGAGTCAGGGGCTGACTTGATAGCCGCTAACAACAACAAGAAGAAAGAATCATAGAAAAGTTGATAAAGCAGGCATGAGAGCCTAGAAGTATTCAGCGTAGCAGACTTCTGATGACAGGTAGGCTGTAGAACTAAACAACTGATCAAAATAATTTACGTCATTGTTAGACAAAGGAAGGATGGAGGGAAGAAGAGGATGTAAGAGGGAAGGTGAGACAAAGAGAAGGAAAAAGTTTGTAGGCAAGACCACCTTCGGGGTGAGCGACCAGTGTAGCCGCAGAGGATCCCATGCTCAGAATGGGGCCCCATGCTTGGGATATTATGCTCTGTGGTCACCATCTTGAAGTTCTCAATAATTTTATCTTTGAATTTGTGTTTTGTAAGTGAAGTCTGATAGGACAATGGAGCATGCGTTGGGAGCTTGGAGCGTTGGCTCACACAGTCCTACCTCCTTGGGACAGGTTCTTGCCCCACCCCCAAGCAACTACTGTTGCCCTCTGCCCCTGGCAAGGACCTCTGCACAGATACTAGGAGGGTCGAGGTTGAGCATGTGTCAAGTCTCGAGGTGGGGCTTTGGGCACCTGTGAGGGCTGCACTCACCTGGTGAACATCCTCATGCCCAAGGAAGCAGAACATTGCATAGCAAATAAAAATCACCATGACAGGTCAAGAGAGACACCATAGAAGAAAGGAATAATCTTTATTCCTGCATTATGAGCAGAGGGCTCCACGTTTTCATTTTGCCCTTGGCTCCACAAATTATGTAACTAGCTCTGGTTGTAGGGTTTAAAATCCACTCAGGACTCTTCCCGGAGTTCCAAGTGGGGAGCTTGAAGTGCCCTGGGCACTTGTTCTTCCAAGGGCCAGTTGTTGTCCCCTGATACAATGGACGGACACTCAAGGGCTCACTGTGTAATGATTCATAGTGGAGGAAGTGGCAAGCTGAGTAATGGGATATGCTAAAAGCTTTCCTGACTAACTTGGCCATGCAAACGGGGCTGGAGAGCAGGGAGGAAAATGAAGAGAGAAAGGGAAAATGAATTGGTGCTATTTGATAGAAGAATTGTGAAACTGGTTTGGAGGTTCTAAAGCACAACCTTGAGGTTAATCTGTGACAATACAGCATGGAGAATACCAAAAGGAAATTTACAAGGGAAAATGTATTACAAGATGGCTGTTGAACAGCATTTAGAAGATGACAACAGCAGCATTTTAAAGATATAGCTCTCTTTTCTTGCCCAGAGTCTCTGAGCCTGACAAGTGGGCCAGCTCCCAGCACCTAGAACAACAGCATGTGTGTTCTGTTTCATTTACCTGCTTCTTTCCTGTCTCCTAAGAACATCTATTTTGCTGATAAGACTTTTGCCTGGAGTTACAGAGTCTTTCTATGGACACACTGAGGAAATAAAAATGCTAATGAATTATTTGGATTCTTTTATAATCTTTCTACAGATATCAGAAGAAATCTGAAAGATAAGAATTTCCACTGTGTGATATAAAACTGGAATTTTCTTTATTAGTCATTAGAGATTTATTATCATCTTAAATTGCAACTGCGTATGCAATGTTCTTTGATTTTTCAGTCCAGTTAAGGGTGTTTAACACCAGCAATATGCACAGTATTTATTTTTTTATTCATTCAAGCTGCAGAGATTTAGGACACTCTCAGTGAAGAATTTTGGTGGCTTTTAAGACTGGGGAGGAGCCCTGGTGGTGCAGTGGTTAAAGCACGTGGCTGCTAACCAGAAGTTCTGCTATTTGAAACCATCAGCGGCTGTGCAGGAGAAAGATGGGGTAGCCTGCTTACATAAAGATTTACAGCCTTGGAAACGCTATGGAGTAGTTCTACTCTGCCCTGTAGGGTCGCTATGAGTCTGAATTTACTCAACGGTGGCTGGGTGGTTTTTTAAATTTTTATTTATTTATTTATTTTAAGACTGGGACAGTGAGGGCAGTGGTGATTCAGTGGTAGAATTCTTCGCCTTCCGTGCGAAAGACTCGAGTTTGATTCTCAGCCAATGTACAACAGTCCAATCCCCAACCCATCATGGGGATGGTGCAGGACTGGGCAGCGTTTTGTTCCTTTTGTATGGAGTTCCTATGTAACAAGGGCGACTCAATGGCAGCTAACAGATGGCAACTAACAACAACAAGGCTGAAATAGGTTACTAGAAAGAGTTGTAGAATAGTTTCCACTCAGGGATAACATAAAAAACTGGTGATAGAGCTACCTGGAAAAATGAGTCCAATTCACGTGGCTGCCTGAGTTTCCTTCCTTCTTGTACTTGTTTGTTTTATCGCTTTATCTATTAGCTACTTATTTATTATCTGAAAGGAATCCTGATGGCACAATAGTTAAGCACTCAGCTGCTAACCGAAAAGTCTGCGGTTGGAACCCACCAGCAGCTCCCCTGAAGAAAAGATCTGGCCATCTGCTGCCATAAAGATTACAGCCTAGAAAACCCTATGGTTCTACTCTCTCCTAGAGGGTCGCTATGAGTCAGAATCAAGCGGACAGCACACTACAACAAAACAACAATTTATTATGCACCTCCCTTCACAAAGGACTTTCAGCAGTTGAATTTCATGGAATTTGTAGCAATTGGACCATTTTCATCATTTTGGTCTCATCATCATGCCACCAGTCAGTATTTAGCATATCATTTCATTGAAATTGAGGTTTACTGTCAATTTCTTATCGACCAACCTCTACAGCAAGTGGGGGAACAAAACAAGTAGACTTAATAAGCAAATGGTTACCTTGGTGGCCCTTCCATAATACTAGCCCTGATGTCAGTCAGTTATATCTGCGTTTAAGCCCACCCTTAATTCTCTAATTACAGAGCTGTAATTTAGCTTTTATGCAGTTTGAATCCACCAGGCGCTCCTAGGAAACCCTATGGAACAGTTCTACTCTGTCCTATAGGGTCTCTATGAGTCGGAATTGACGCAAGAGCAACGGGTTTGGTGTTTTGGTTTTGGGCGAAGAAAATCTCTGCAGTCACTTGAGAAAGTGGAAATTTGTTGACACGTATGAATAGTACGGATTTTGTATTTTTCTTTTCTTCTCTTCTTTTGTTTCTTTTGCTTAATTTCCACAGACAGGAAAGAGCACTGGGTTGTACATAATGGGCTTCCTTTGACTATTTTCCAGAGTGGAAATAGAATTCTGTGTTCCATCATCCTGAGCCACCACCAGGGTCCTTCCATTATCAACTATGATGACGAGAGCGGGAAGACATGCGCGCATATCGCCGCAGCGGCGGGTTCCCACGACATCATTCACGAACTGGCCAGAGTCCCTGAGTGTAACCTACAGGCTCTGGATGTGGATGACAGGTATCCATGGCAACTTGGAAAGTGCTGGGAACTACCAGTCATCTCCAAATTAATCTTAAAGATATTTAAGGAGCGATCCCATACAACTATATCCTCAATGCCAGTAATCTTTACACATGTGTTTTGACAACAAAAGCTGCTCTATTTTAGTCTGGGCAGGAAAAACCATTGTTAGAGAGAGAAACACTGGGACTCTACAGGACTGTCAAATTTTCCACTTTTTGCTAAACTTTCTGAGTATTCTCAAAGGCTTTCTGTATACGAGCTTCCTGCTATATGCACTTTTGTTCCTGACAGTAGGTTTTGTTTTTTCTTCATTCCTGGATTATGTCATAAAGTCAAGAAGTTCTTGTTTTCCAGAGAAGAGCATAATAGGAGCTTTGTATTCAGAACAGTTAGGCTTGTAGAACTAGAAGGACCCTGTCTCAGTACTGCTGTAACAGAAATACCACAAGTGGATGGCTTTAACAAACAGAAACTTACTTTCTCACAGTTTAGGAGGTGAGAAGTCGGAATTCAGGGCACCAGGTCCAGGGGAAGGCTTTCTCTTTCTGTCGGCTCTGGGGGAAGGTCCTTGTTTCCTGGTTACTTGGAGATCTCCATGTGACTTGGCATCAATCTTCCCCCGTCTCTGCTTTTCTCACTTGATTGCTTAATCTCTTTTATATCTCAGAAGAGGTTAAGACACCAAAACTCAGAACTAAACCCACTGCTGTTGAGTCAATTCTGACTCACAGCGACCCCATAGGGTTTCCAAGGCTGTAAATCTTTACGGAAGCAGACTGCCACATATTTCTCCCAAAGAGCCGCTGTTGGTTTCGAACCATAGACCTTTCGGTTAGCTGTCAAGTGCTTTAACCACTGAGTGACCAGAGCTCCCTGATTTAAGACACACCCTGCACTAATCCTGCCTCATTAACATAACAAAGACAACCTATTCCCAAATGGGGTTATAACAATAGGCATAGAAGTCAGGATTTACAACACATTTTTGAGGGACATAATTCAATACATAATAGGTTCTTATCAGTTTTTACTTGTCAATCATTAAAAATTTATTGGCGTAGAAGAGGAAGCTCGGTCTCAAAAGGTGAAAAAGACCTACCACAGAGCTAGTTAGTAACTAAATGAAGACTCGTACCCCTTCCTTCCCTACTTAGAGCTTTTCGCCTACAATACCATGCTTATCTAACATTTGTTTTGTTTAGGCATGATCCAACAGCAATATAAGAATAAAATAACAACAAACAAGACTATTGAAAATAAGTACAAGGCTTACCCACACTACGTATGATACTTTTTACCCTTTCCTATTGAAGTGCAAAATTAACCACCTACTTATCATAATTTTGGAGTCTCTGGGGTTTCCCCGAGTCAGAATCGAGTTGACTGCAACGAGTTTGTTTGTTTGTTTGTTTGAGTGGGTGGTGCAAACTGTTAATGCATTTGGCTGCTAAATGAAAGATTTGCAATTCGAATCCACTCACAGGCCCTTCAGAAGAAAGAACTGGCAACCTACTTCTGAAAAATAAGTCACTTAAAACCAGGGCTTTGAACTGGTTATTTTCGGTTCGACCCACTGCTGAGAATTTCCTTTTGCACCCAAGATGTACTGAATCAGAATCTACAGTTTAGCAAGATCCCCAGGTGATTCTTATGTGAAATGCAAATTCTCAGTAAGGGGTCAAACCAAAAATAACTGGTTCAAAGCCCTATTTAAAACCCTATGGAGAGAAAAAAAAAACCCTAGGGAGCACAGTTCTACTTTGACACACATGGGGTCACCATGAGTTGGAATCAACTTGACGGCAACTGGTTTTTATCGTGATTTTAAATGCCCCCAGAAAGCACCTCTTACTCCCTGTTGCCTGAAATCTTTCTAACGTATCGAAAAAATTCTTTGGTTTCACATACATCTCAGAAGCTGGAAACGGTTAGCATGAAACGACTTAAATTAACATTACAGTATAAATTTGAAAGTAGTCATTTTCCTAAGAGCAAGTGTTGATCCTAAGCAGGTAAGAAAGTGGAAGAACTTTAATTACATGAGGAGAAAAGACAAACAATCCATAAGAAGAAGAAAGAAAGAAATTTAAGAAAGGAGGGCTAGGGAACTTTGCCTACTTCAAAATACTCCTAGAACCAGCTCCGAATAGGTTATTTCCCGTGTTGCCTTACCACACACTTAACAAAGAAAATCCAGTTTCCCAGTTCTCAGGGAAGAAAGTAAAACCAAGAGGAGAAAAAAAAAAAAAAAGCAAAAAAAGGGTTTCTATAAGAGTTTAGCAAACCCTGGTGGCGTAGTGGTTAAGAGTTTGGCTACTAACCAAAAGACCTGCAGTTTGAATCTACCAGGTGCTTCTTGGAAAACCTATGGGGCAGTTCTACTCTGTCCTATAGGGTTACTATGAGTTGGAATCGACTCAACAGCAACGGGTTATAAGAGTTTAAAGCAGAAGTAAAAGCTCAAAGAGAGTCTAGGTCCTACATCAATACTCAAGTTGAGTGTCTTGATGCTGATCAAATCCTACCCCATTTTGCTTCACATTTCCTGTACTGCGTAGCTGTGCCTTCATGTTGAAACTATAAGCTAGTGTGAGTGGTAGAATTTTTCCAAAATGTTCATAGATTTAAGTGCTTTACATGTTTGCAGTAATTGTGATTTCCCTTCCTTCTTCTCTTTCCTAGTGGAAAGAAAGTTTTTATGAAAAGGGAATAAAAATAAGGTAGTGATAGAAAAGAGGTAGAGGGAAAATATGGGGCAACTAGCTGTCCTAACTATTAAAACACATTATAAATTTACAATATTTAAAACATGTGGTACTAACCTGAGATTAATGGCACGGAACTGATAGTCAGAAATAGCTGTGTAGCTTAAATGTTTCAAACTTCATCAGTCTGCGAGGTCTTACTTCCCTTTATACCCAACTCAGTAAGCTGAACCACTGCCCTGCTTGTCTTCTGGAAGGACAGTCATTTTATTTATTTGTTTGTTTATTTATTTATTTGGGTTGGGGGAAGTAGTCTTTCATCAAGTTCTCTTCCCTACATATTTCTGGAAGTTCTCTTGGGAACATTTACATGCTCTGTAAATTATTCCTTAGCTACTGATAGTTCAACTAATGATGCACTCTTGCACCCATCTGGAGGCTTATACAATGCCAAGGTATGTAGGAAAGAGGTGGAGAGGGTGACCCTCTCATCCTTTGTCTTTGCTCTCTCAAGTCTGATGGTGTTCAATTGCATCCATGCAGTGCTTTGGGGGCTGCCGCTGGTCTCATTGCCTAGACACACCACATGGAATTTCCTGCCCCTTACCTTCCAGTAGGCAAACCCTGGTGGTGTAGTCATTAAGTGCTATGGCTGCTAACCAAAAGGTCAGCAGTTCGAATCCACCAGGTGCCCCTTGGAAACTCTAAGGGACAGTTCTACTCTGTCCTGTAGGGTCACTATGAGTCAGAATCAACTCAACGGCAATAGGTTTGGTCTGGTTTTTGGTTACCTTCCAGTAGGTCTGCCAAAGAAGCAAGGTTCTGGCTGCCTCTGTTCTTGGGTCCAATGGGCCTTTATGCTCATGCTCCTATCACCCTCTTGTCACATCAGCCTTGTCAGTTGAGGAGGGACTCTCTTGTCTTGGGGAAGTTCTTTGCCCTTTATATTTTCATTTAAATACTTTGTCTAGGCCGTTAACTTTTTAAATCTGCTCCCAGTCCTGAGCTTGGCTTTTGGAAACAGAAAGACATTGACTATTTCTCTTTTCTACCCTGCCACATCCCTCCCCTAAGTTGAGCACAAAGTCAACCATATCCTTGAATGGGGAAAACTAGAAAGGTAGAAAAACATGTATACAGGGCAGGATCTCAAAATATCATCCACCACATTAATAAATCGTGTTGAGAAAAAATGGCTATGTAATTAGAAAAACAGTTTGGCTTCTCATATCACCATGCATACTAACAGACACATAGAGACACACACATTTCCAACAGAAAAATGAGCAAAGGACATTTCACTGAAGAAACTCAAATGGCAAATAAACACATATCTCAAAAGTTTAACTTCACTATTAATTAAAGAAATGCAAAAGACAACAACAGTGAGACATCATTTTGGCTACCAAATGGGCAAAGTATTTTAAAGATGGTGATAATATTCAGCATTAGGGAAAGCAGAGGGACACAATGGATGGGAGGACAAATTGAGACAATTTTCCTGGAAGGCAGTTTGACACTATGTATAAATTCAGGACACTAAAGCTGTTCATACCCTTTGACTCAGTACTTCTTCTTCTAGGAAATACTCAGAAATGCCAGAGAAGGTGAAAGGCTAGAGGATACTTAGAGCTGGAAAGAGGCTCTGACACATGCATGCCATCACCCTTAAGTCTCATTAACACATATTATTTCCATACGGGGAATCCTGGGTTAAACTTCTTTACTTTAACCCATACAAACGGTTAATATGTTTGACAGCTAACTGAAAATTGATGGTTTGAGTCCACCCAGAGGTTCCTTGGAAGAAAGGCCTGGTGATCTACTTCCAAAAAATCAGCCATGGAAAACCCCACAGAGTACATTTCTACTCTGACACACGTGGGGTCACCATGAGTCAGAATCTACTCAACTGCAGCTGGTTATTTTCATGCAGTAAATGCTATTGATGTTATTTGCCATCAAGTCGATTCTTTTCAATAGCAACCCCATGTGCGCAGAATAGAACTGCTCCGTAGGGTTTTCAAGGCTGTGACCCTTCAGAAGCAGATCACCAGGACTGTCTTCTGGGGTGCCTCTGATATTGTAATCTGTAATGACAATATTGTAATCTGATACTGTAGTTAGATTTGAACTGCCAATCTTCGGTCAGTAGCCGAGCACTTAAGCGTTTGTGCTACTCCACCAAGTTTTTTCCTTTGGCAACCCAATTTTTGGCAGGAACTGTTGCCAGCTAAGCAACCTATACTATTCATGTGTTCCCACACTTGTGTTTTTCCCATGTGGTTCCCCCAGGACTCCGCTGCACTGGGCTGCAGCTGCAGGGAAGGCAGAATGTGTCCAGTCACTGCTAGAGTTGGGCATGGATAGCAACCTTCGAGACATCAACGAGAGCACACCCCTGGCCTACGCCCTCTACTGTGGCCACACTGCCTGTGTCAAACTCCTCTCCCAAGAGAGCAGGTGAGTACACCAGGAGGCATTCGTTTTTTCTTCCTCTCAAAGATTTACAAAATTGAAAGAAAGCAGCCCTGTGAGGGTAGTCCCCTCCCCTACTAATGGGCAAAACCAGCAATAACTTGATTTTGTGTTTGCCATTATGTAACATTTATGGAAATGTTCTTGACTACGTGGAGCAAAATGGTGGTAATAAGTCTAATTCTATCAGCCTAATATTCACTGGACTTTAATGTCTCTTTCCTTTTTCTCCCTTTCTTCTTCCCTTTATGCCACATCCTCTCACTCCTCTTTTTTCCTAAATCAGCAGTTCTCAAACTGTTTGGTCTCAGGACCCTTTCACATTCTTAAAAATTATTTAGAACCCCAACGAACTTTTATTCTATATATTACACTTAGCAACATTTATGGCATTAGAAATTAAAATGTAGAAACTTATAAAATATTTAGTTATTCATTTAAAATGATAGTGTACCCATTACATTTACATGTTAACATGAAAAACATTTTCACTTAAAATAACCATATTTTATTAAACAAAAAGAATATAATGAAAAGAACAGCATTGTTTTACATTTTTTGCAAATCTCTTTGCTATCTGGCTTTATAGAAGACAAGTGTATTCTCATATCTGCTTCGGCATTCGTTCTGTTGCAATATGTTGTTTTAATTGAAGTATATGAAGACAACCTGACCTCACATAGATATGTAGTTGGAAAAGGAAGGAGTATTTCAATAGCCTTTTCACATAATTATGGGTTTTTTTTTTTTTTGATACTACACCAAAACTTGACCAGTAGTAGTTTCCTAAAGGCTAATGACAAAGATGGAATCTGTCACTATAGCCATAAACTTTTTGTACTCTTTTACATTCAAGTCTATTACTCAATCTGCACTTTGTTGTTGTTAGTTGCCCTTGAGTTGATTCCAACTCATGGCAATCCCAAATGTGCAAAGTAGAACTGCTCCACAAAGTTTTCAAGGCTATGACCTTTCAGAAGCAGATCTCCAGGCCTGTCTTCCAAGGCACCTCTGGCTGAGTTCAAGACAACAACCTCTCAGCTAGTAGTTGAGTGCTTAACTGTTTGTGCCACCCAGAAACTCCTTCTTGCACTTTAAATATCTCTCATACCCCTGCATGATTTTATAATATATTGCATCGGTCATTTAGAAAGTATTGGTTCAAATAGTTATGTACATCTCTCAAATGGGACATTTCATTATACGATACCAACAAATCACATTTGTTAATATCACCACCAATCTCATCAAAAAAGCCTTTGTGTATTGGGACACTGTCATGTTCACAGTGGTGAATACAAAGTTTTCCAAAATTCTAAACTTCACTTGAAAGCTAGACTTCTCTAATTGGCAAGAATTACTGTCAGTGGTTTTCCTTGAAGTAACAGGCTTAACTTTGTTCATTTTTGAGAAAGTTTCTGTAAATACTCAATTCTGGGTAATTATAGTTTGCCTATAAGTCATAAAAACGATGTTCAATTAAAAAAAAAAAGTGGCTACTTCGACTGGCAACTCAAACAATTGCACAAGTGCTTCGCTTCAAGACAACCATTGTACTTCAGTACGTAGCAGAATTGCTTTACAAGCATTTCCTGTTTTGTTAAAAACATGTATACTCAAGGGACAGTATTTTTAAAAATTAGTAACTTTTACTGCTTCACCAAGGACATTATTAAATTAAACTGACTTGTTTATTTATTTGTTTTATTGTGAGTGCATGTTAGTAAAGAATAGAATGACTACTCGTAGGGCTTTGATTTGTGCTAAGGTGTCCACAGTTTTGTCCTTCATTTTTATTGCACCATCAGTGCAAAAAAGCAACACAGTAAAAAACAAAAATAATATCTTGGTATTATTATGAAAATAGTTGTGGCCTCATGGACTCTCTGACTCTTGGAGACACCTCCAGTGTACAGTGGGACCACACTTTGAGAACCATTGACCTAAATCACAATCTGTAATGGGAAGAAGAGATAGACTGTAGAAGTTGTTGAGGTAGCATTAATTAGCACAAGGATATATTCTGTAGCTGGGAAACTTGAAAGACCATTAGGGATCCTCTCAGGTCCCTGCAAGGGTAGTACTAGGAGTCCAGGAGCTGTGTCCAATATTTTAAAAAGCCTATTGGAAGGTGAAAGAATGAGGATAAAAATGCGAGAATGAAATTCAATTATGCACTGTGTGACCTGTGGGGGAGTTGGGAACATTTGTTATATGCAGCCAAAAAAGAGGGGTGATGTTTTTCAAATTATGGATTACAATATCTCACCCCAAAGAGTAATGTGGAAATCTGATTCTTGGGGGTGTATACATGGATCAGATTTCACTGTTAACTCGTACTGCAGAAAGCATTAAATCAATTGTGGCATCAAATGCAAAGGACACAGAATTTTCCAAGGAACAAAAACAGAATAGCTCCTCAGGGAAACTCTCCACATGAGAAGAGCTAGTAGGACAACAACTGCTGACTTTTTCCTGTTGAGTTTGCCTTCACATCGGGCATTGTTCACTTTTCTTCTGTAGCCACACCAGACCTCTGGCATGCACATTTCCTCTTCCTCTCCAGCTAGAGCCGAGAACAAAGCTTCTTTCCTTGGTTTCCTTTAGGATACATTTTTAAAGTATTTTTCAATAGGAAATTCAGTAAAAACTGAAAGGAAAACAAACGACACACAAACAGCATAAAATGGGCACCATTCTTGAGATGGATAATGTTAGTGCTCTGTCAAGATCCCCTTGGATCTCTCTCAGAGGCCTAAAACCACACTCTCCCCATCTATATAATCAACACCTTCCTTCCACTGGTTGAAACTGAACTCAATCCGTGGCCTTTATATCTTTGACTTAAAGCTTACACACCTACTGACATGCCCTTGAAAAGTGAGAACAGTAACACTACAAGCTATTTTCAGCTTAGTTTGTCCTTTGCTGAAAACAGATAATCTAGGGGTAAATTTTGAAAAGATAACCCCTAAGAGAGCAAGAGAAATCTAAGAAATGTTCTAATTGCCCACAGTAAGGAACCGTCTCTGGGAGGGAGTTACAAAGGGTGCTGAGGGTTCTTTCACATCCCCTTTGACTTGAGAGATGTTGGTGGGGGGGTGCCTTTGAATTATTTCAGACAACCAGCTCAAACAGATGGAATAGGGGGTTGTATTTTGGTTAGTGATACTGCCTCCACTTTCTGTCCTTGTGGGAGCCCTGGTGGCCAACTCTTTAAGACCTCAGCTGCTAATCAAAAGGTCGGCGGTTTGAATCCAACAGCCGCTCCCTGGAAACCCTATGGGGCAGTTCTACTCTGTCCTGTAGGGTCACTATGACTTGGAATTGACCTGAAGGCAGTGGGTTTGTTTGCTCTATCCTCATATAACACCCTTGTTATTTTATATTCCTACAGATCAGAGCCTACTCGATCCCTTCCTTCCCAAAACAGTAAACCCCAGAAGAAGGAGGGACGGTTCAGCATGCTCAACCAAATCTTCTGCAAAAATAAGAAAGAAGAACAGAGAGCCTATCAGAACCATCACAGCAAGGACCGATACAGGGGGGAGGACACCTCGGAAGTCGATGACATCATCACCACCTTTGACAGCATCGTGGATACCAACTGCCAAGAACAGCCTGGTGACCAGGTGGCTATGGTTGAATTTAAGAAGAGGACCTCAGAAAATTCAAAATATCTCTTACCAGAAAAGAAGCCCCTGTCCCGTAAGGGGCTTCCACCAATCAGAACGCAGAGTCTCCCACCCATCACCTTGGGCAATAACTTCCTGACAGCCACCCATGGGGCCACTTCCCATGCTGGGCTGAGCTCTGGTCCTCATCAGACGGCCCAGAGATCTCAGAAAAGTAGAAGCGAGCAGGATTTATTAAATAACAGAACTGGCTGCCATACATTGCTAGAGAACCCCTGGAGGGGTGATTCTAGTCAGGTGTTCTCCTACAAAGCTTGGACTGTGTCTTCTTCTGATAAGTTACCAGACAGAATACTCACTGGCAGATCTGGCCACCAAGAGTTCTCGGGGCCGCCACATCTTCCTCATCTACATAATCCTTCATCAGGTAATGTCCTTGCTTCCTTTGTCTTCATTCCTCTGTAGACAAGCTCGTAGAAAAAGTGTTGCATACAGGTCTGGGTTAGGATCTGGAGTGACAACTAGCCACATTACCTTAGAGGGAAGGGCCAGAATAAAATGGGTGAAAAGGACCTTTTTTTTCTCCTGGAATACACCTGGATTCAGATGTCCAGACTATGGTAACATTCTGCTTTTCCACCGTGAGGGTAATCATCAAAGAAAAGTGTGTACCTCCTCATCTCCCAGCAAATACCCGTGGTGTCTGGCAGAATTGAGCAAGAGTAGTACTATTCCCACCGGCAGGGGTTCTTAGCCAGGGCTGTGTGGCAAACACACCTGCGAGGAATTGATTTGCTTATTTGGTTATCTGTTTTTAAATCAGATGTTCAAACCCAACCCCAGACCTATTGAATCAAAATCTTGGTGACAGAGGAGGGGAAATGGTTATGCCTTGTACGTATATAAAAAGGTAACACATTCACACATTCATGGTTTCAGTCTCAACACATACCAAAAGGTTACATGGCAATTTTCCCCCCTGCCTCTCCCCCAGCGACTCAGTGCCCCTCACACAAAGCTACCAATATGATTAATTTCTCATTTATCCTTCCAGAGATATTTTACATACATACAAACAATATATATGTGTATGTTCCATCCTCCTTTTTAAATAAGTGTGTCACATTTAAAAAAAAAAAATGTCTACAGATGATTCTGGTGCACAACAGAGGCTCAGAACCGTCGCTCTAAGGCTGCAAACCAGCTTCCAGAATCTGTTCAGTACCACAGGATCTTGGTTTATCTTGATTTGTTTTCAATTAAATTAGTTGCCATATTTAAAAACCAGGAAGTTTTACATAAAACTATAAATTTCTAGCTTCTCTTGAAAAAGTGAAAAACCTGGTGTTGTTGAACCCAAACTCCCATGTGGCAATAATCGGCTGGATCGGAGCAACCACGGTCCCCTCAGAACGACGTGGCTGGGCTGCCCAGTTCAACCCAGTCCACACCACTCAAGGATCCCTGGTGACACAATGGTTAAGCGCTCCACTGCTAAAGGAAAGGTCAGTGGTTCAAACCCACCAGCCGCTCCGCAGGAAAAAAGGCCTGGTGATATGTTCCTGTAAAGATTACAGCCTAAGAAAGCTTATGGGGCAGCTCTTCTCTGTCCTATGGGGTCACTTGAGTTGGAGTCAACTTGATGACACCTAACAACAACAGCCACCACACAACTCTACAATTTCTCCATGGAGTGTCAGTTGTTATTTATCCATGTGTTTCTGTTATTGTTTTTCTCACAGTAAAGAAGAAAATCGTGTATTTCTTGAACCCGTATCTCTGTCAAAAATAGAAAAATGGAAGATAGACCAAGAGGGCTATGTGTTTTAAGAAAAGTGGGGCAGGACATATTTCTTTCAGAAACGAGGAATATTTCTTCCCATTTAATGTGCAGCGTGCGTCTGGTCCTCTTCACTCATTTACCTATTATATGCCTGGTGCCCAAAGACTTTGAGGCCGAGTATAGCTCCCCTCATGCATATTTCCACATATATGTACATATTTAAAAGTTCTTGGGTGACACAAATGGTGTGTGCTCATCTACTAACCTAAAGGTTAGTGGTTCAAGCCCACCCAGGGCACCACTGAAGAAAGAACTGGCAATCTGCTTCTGTAAAGATTACAGCCAAGAAAACCCTATGGAGCACAGTTCTACTCTGGAACACATAGATCTCCATGAATTAGAATCGACTCAATGGCAATGGGTTTTTGTTGTTGCTGTTTTTAATTTAAGCACGGGATAAGAAATATGAATAAGCACATTAAAGCTATTTCCTGGTGTCTGAGAAAAACTCCACTCAAAACTTTATTTCCTCCATAAAGCATTTAAGCATTTGGCTGGTGGCATGGCTAATGTGTTTGCATTTTTTCTGAGGAAGGATAAGGAAGGGAAGATATTGACCTGTACCTTTTGACACTTTAATGGCCTCCAAGGTCAAAGCCCTGGTGGCACAGTGGTTAAGGGTTCAGCTGCTAACCAAAAAGTCAGCAGTTCGAATCCACCAGCCGCTCCTTGGAAAACCTGTGGGGCAGTTCTACTCCGCGCTATAGGGTTACTATGAGTCAGAATCGACTCGACAGCAACGGGTTTGTTTTTTTTTTTGGTTAAGATCAAAACCCAGCCTGATTTCTGGAGTTAGCCCCATTCTGGCCAGGCTGACACCTTCTCTTTTGAAAATGAAGTTTGTCATTGTTCTACTTCAGAGCTAGCCTATGCTGTCTCTTCTACGTCAGGATTTGGTTCCTCTATCTGTAACATAAAATCCAAAATAACAGTGATTTTAACAACATAGAAGGTTGTTATTTATCTTTCTCATATGAAAGAAGTCTGAAGGTAGGCAGCTCCCAGATACCTGGCGGCTCCATGATCATTAGACACCCAGACTCCTTCCATTGGTATGCTCCTTCTACCTGTATGCTCCACATCCTAATACATGACTTCCATCCTCTAGGTCATACCACAGTCCACAATGGCTGATGGAGCAGGAGGAAGGAATTAGAGTGGGAGGAAAATTGCACGTCCCCCAGCTAAGTCAGCTCACATTAAAAAGTCATCTCCCATTAAGTTCCACAGTTCTGCTTATGTCTCACTGACCAGAACTTTAGTCACATGGTCACACCTAGTCACAAGGGAGACTGGGAATTGTAGTCTTTTAGCTGGGCACATTGCTGTCCTCCAAAATTGAGGTTCTGTCACTAAGGGAGAACGTTGCTGTTGTCAGTTGACATCAAGTTAGCTCTGATTCATGATGACCTTATGTATTACAGAACAAAATGTTGTTCAGTCCTGTGCCATCTTCAGATTGTTGGTATGTTTGAGTCCATTGTTGCAGCTATTTTGTCAATCCATCTCACTGAGGGTTTCCCTCATTTTTGCTGACCCTCTAATTTACCAAACATGATGTCCTTTTTCTAGAGATTGATCTTTCCTGAATATGGGACCGAAGTAGGTGAGCTGAATTCTCACCATCCTTGTTTCTAAGGAGCATTCTGGTTGTATTTCTTCTAAGACTGATTTGTTCATTCTTCTGGAAGTTCACAGTATACTTAATATTCTTTGCCAACACAACAGTGCAAATGCATCAATTCTTCTTCTGTCTTCCTTTTTCATTGTCCAGCTTTCTCATACATATGAGGCAATTGAAAAGACCATGGCTTGGGTCGGGCATACCTTAGACATCAAAGTGACATCTTTGCTTTTTAAAACTTCATAGAGGTCTTTTGCAGCAGATTTGCCCAATAAAGTACATCGTTGGATTTCTTGACAGCTGCTTCCATGGATGTTGATTGTTGATCCAAGTAGAATGAAACCATCGACAACTTCAATTTCTTCTCCATTTATCACGATGTTTATCGATCCAGTTGTGAGGATATAAAGGAGATAGAGAGTGGATATTGGAAAAGCAATTACTAGATTCTGCCACATATGCCATCCAAAAATTTCAATATTGTTTGAAGTGGAAAGAAATTCAATAAACTTGGTTTGTGACTTTGCTCAGTATTCAATTAACTTCAAAACTGCTGTGGCAGCAGAAGAGGAGGAGTGAAATTCTCTAAAGCTGTCTTAAGCAATTAGTTTTGCCTATAATAAAGTATTTATTTTCTCAACAAATTCTTTTGAGTACTGATGATAACTAAACTATTCTGGGTCATGATAAGCTAAATCTCCCAAGAGTCATCAGCCTATAAATGAACTATAAATGAACTTTATAAAGATGGATTTGCTAAAATGATTGTGTAACTGACTTTAAATTGACTTTCTCCTCATGTTTAGATACAAGGTCATAGGGTTTTTAAACGGAAGGGAACTTAGACATTCACTCATTCATTACACATTTACTAAGTGTCTATCATACCAGTTTAATCAAGAGGCAGTATAGTCCCATGGTTAAGAGAGTGATTCTAAAGCCACACTGCCTGGGTTCAAATTCTGGCTCTGCCACTTCCTTGCTGTTACTTCATCTCTCTGTGCCTTAGTTTCCTTGTCTGAAAAATGGGGACAATACTTTGTAGGGTTACAGGTTGCTGTGAAGACTAAATGAGTTCATGCATGTAAAGTGCTTAGAACAATGAGTGCCACATAGTAAGTACTACACACACACACAAACACACACACGTGTATGTTTGTGCATGCGTATCCCTTTATATATACATATTTTTTTTTTTTTTAGCTATGTATTAGGCCCTATGCTAAGCACTACACCTTAAAGACCATGTAGAGATCACCTTTGTTTCAAAGATGATGAAATTTGAGTAAGTGTGCCAGTCAACTGCCTGTTTGCTCTTAGATTTAGTCTTCACCATCGCCCCCTCCACTCTGTATCTAGGGAACAACACTTCCCAGGCACTGTTGACAGCTAGCTTATAGGTAGATTCAGCCAATAGAAGGGACTGGCAGAAGATTGGATAGTTCTCCACCCCCTCTGATTTGTCTAGTGTCCCCAGCAGTGGCTCCTTCTCCTCCCAGCTCCCCCCCAGAGACCCTGGCTCTGTGGTTCTGCCTCCTGCAAGCTTCTGGGCCTTGACAATACCATCTCTTCCTGTTGTTCCTGGACCCTAGAGGTGGTTGCATCTCCCTGCTGTGACTCATCTCTGTGTTGGCCTTCTTCCCTGTCCTCTGTTTAGCTTCTCAGTTCTTCTATCACCAAGATAACCGATATTCTGTATGAAATTCCCTCTGTTTGAAAGACCTAGAGAGGTCTCTGTTTTCCTGGATGAACCCTGATTGATAAAGCAAGAAATATCATCTTTCTGGGCCATAGTTTCCTGGCATGTAATAAATGAAAATAACAACTTACCCTTTGGATGCAGGGACTGGGACCAATTTGTCTTATGGGACCCTTCCAGTTATAATTCACATGGCCTAGAGAAGTTAAATGATCTATTCAAAGTCTTACAGCTAATTAGTGACATATTCCGGACTTGAAT